CCCGAATATCCCTCAACCGATTTTTATATTTTGCTTTTCATATATTTTTACTGAAAGAAGACATTAGTCTCCATATGAAGTCATAACAAAACATTTGAGAAGAACGATCTGTACACATATATTGCATTTATTAGTCCTTTTATATTGTATCCTTTTTTTGACGGCACAGGAGGAAATATGATTACGTCATTAACTCGAGGCTATTTATTTATTTATTAAATTTGTTTATTATTTATCTATTTATTTTTTTGTGGAGGAAGAGGGGGGGGGAGGAGGGGGTAAAATGTGTCAATCTATATTATTACGTTAAACACATTATAAGGACAAAGATCGATTAATGTAATTTCTATTCAATATAGCCCTCTGAGATTAATTTATGAAAATTGCTATAAAATGCTCCTAAATTTAGATAGTTTCAAATCAATTTTCATTCATTCATTTGACATGAAATTGGCAAAAAGAGCATGTTAATTTTAGCGAAAATATGATTACCTTTGTCATTTTTATGTTTTCATCTTTGCAATTTTGATTTCATGTCTATTGACTTAATGTAACGTCACAATGTCATACATGCATAGATTGTCTACATTGTAACGTCACAAAAACCTATTTATATACGATAATACGCAAATAGTATGATACCGTTGTATTCACTTCTGGATAAGCCAGTCACGTGAAAAAAACTGTCCATATACAATTCCGGCCCATTGCAGTTTATGATAATTGATCAATTTTAAACTTTTTTTATGAGAGTCGCATATCAACGGATACAATAGCAAAGATGTAATGCTATTGAATTAAAATATTCACTAGAAGAGATACGAAATGAGGAAGCACCTATTCAAAGATTTAGTGAGTCGATGAGGAAAAGCCAAACAAAGTGATAATGTGGCCATTTCCTCCATTTAAAAAACATTAGTGGTACGAAAAGTCCAAATAATGAAAAATAATATCTTATACTTACTGAAACATACAGCAAAGTGTGTAAGGTTCATATCAAACACCATAATAACGTTACAAAGGACTATGTATGGTTTGGGCGTGTTTTGTCCCCCTAATGCAATTAAAATTCAAAACCTTTAAATAAACTTTTCAAACGACCGTTTCTTCAATTATGAATAGTTCCCAAATACTATCATGAACATATTAATTTGTATTTCTAATTATTTATGGTATGGTAACAAGTTCAAATTTGCATAAATTAGAAAAACTTGAATATTCAGTGAATATTGTCATATTTTGCATATTTATTTCCTGCAAAGTATAGAGCGCATGCTTTAACAAACTTAATATCAAAGGATAATGCGTATGCACGTGTAATACATCTTAAGGAGAAATATAAAGTTTGTTCAAGAGTGCGCTCTATGGTAGCTAAGAGAAAAACTAGGTGAAAACCTGTCAAAATTGACTGAATTCAAATTTCAAATTAAACTTTCATTAATTTATGCAAATATTAACTGGTTACCATGGCAGCCATAGTTGAAAACACAAATAAATGCTTACATGATAGTACCGGGGAAGTATTCAAAATTGAAGGAACAGTCATTTGAAAGTTCTACTGAAGATTTTTAATTTCGATGGATTTGGGGGCCAACAAAGACCTAAACTATATATAGTCCTTTTACAAAATTTGTTTATATAGGTACAACAGATTATACATTTTAAAATTAATTTTTCATGTAAACACTGCTTCAATAAATCCCAGATACAAGCTTAAGGTTACGACTAATCTGGATCACTGCTAGTCTAACAATGGTCTAAACGTTCTAGTCCGGTAAAATAATCACAAGAAATACAACAAGCACTGTTTTCATTATGTTGATATAGAGCAAAGGTTTAACACTCTTCGATCAGATTTGTTATGCATTAATTTACCAATGTTCAAGCTTAGCCCAGTATTGATGATATGGGAGTCTGAAACAAGGTAGACGAGCCTTGTTACAAAACACACAGTCCATGTTTTCACAGCCTTCGCCGCGACACAATCATGAACCACACATGGTCAACGTATATTAATTATTAGCTGCAATCATGCCAAACCTTAAAGCTGTTTCATGCAAAGAGCGATTCTGGTCTTAAAACAACAATTGCATTGAAGGTTGTTTATATAATCAAATGTCATTTACCTCGAATATTTCTTATGGATAGTACAATCATTTTGTTACATTTTGTATGTATAATCAAAATACAGTCAAAAATGCTTACTATACACGTTAAAAGTCCAATGCACCGAGTTTTCTGATAAATTAATAGTTAATTGGGCTCATTATATATAACTGTTACTATACTAATGGCTAGTAAAACGTAATTTGATTTATTGTTCCATACAAAATCCAGTCCCTCATACACATATATGGTGTATCTGGGTTACTATACGTAAATCACAAACACCTGTCGACAGAAATACATATAAAACTATACAGGCACAGGTAGGAAAGAAACATGTCAATTCAATTCTTAATTAACCTGGAGCAGATTCCTCATCAGTGTACACAAGTGTTAACACGATTTAAACGGCATAACACGTTAAACATTTATCTTCTTGTTTAATGTATAATGGTGATTGTAAGCCATTTTTGTTTATAATACAACTAATACTATTATCCATATGTTGTAAAGCGCTTTAGAGTAATTTTACAAATTATATAGGGCGCTATATAAATGTTGTATACTATTATTATTATTATAACACGTTAACATTCTACAAAATATACGCAATACAGTGCCTAACTTGAGTCTGCTGGGCAGAGGCGTGCGTACAATAATACAACAGAATGGAGAGGAACATTATAAACAATAATTCAACGCTGTAGTTCTACGTTTATCCTTATAAATGATTCAATTATCATTAATTATATTTGTGTGATTAATAATTCATTTTTTTAAAGACAGATGGGTTAAACGGATTACATTTTTGATATCTTTCCTCGTTTGATCTAACAGAAACTATTAGGAAACATTTCTCGGCCCCCCCTTTTAGGAAATCCTTGATCCGCCACTGGAAAGATATTTAAGCAAAGTCCATAATGCCAATAACTATAACCTTCCGATATTCACGCCGGGTTTTATAGCGATAAGTGTATAGTTATCATAATTATACGTTGTTTGGGTATGAACATATGTTGTTAAATGATATTGAAGAGCAGCGTCAACACTCTGATCTGTCGACGGCTAAAATGTAGTCTGTATTCTGATCGTGTGACAGTTGGTCCTATGCCGACAAACCGCACATATGGCGGCATTGGTCCTTTAAAAACCAAATCTGCATTTTACAAAAAATATCCCACCCTCATCATGAATATGACATGTGCTAACAACGTGCTTTTATTTTCATTGCGTACGTAGATACTAGGCCGTATTACAAAATGGCGCAAACAAATACAGTCCTAATTGTTTGGGTTGAAAAGTCTCTTACGGTGACATATTTGAAAGAAATGAAGGTTTTAATCAATTGAATTTGTAAAACATTGGGGAAGGACGCAATAGCTTTAGCAAAATCAGATTTTCAAGACTTTGCCAAGATTCTTGGCATTTAGCCTTTGGCAGAGGTGCAAGTTAGTGTAAGGAAGGACAACTCTAGATCTGGGTATATTGAGTAATACCCGTTCATTATAATGACATATTGGCAAATACTACAGTATAACCACGTTCATTCGCACATTTCAATTTGCGGTTTTTAAAGAGAGAGAAAAAGAACGCGGGAGGGTAATTAAGTCGGTGACCACCCAAAAATTTCGTAGAAATATATAATTTCCCTCAGACCCTTCCAATGACTTACTGCAAGGAGAACAGAAGATAGCAAACAGAATAATTAAATGACGTTGATCTTGTTATTTTTGTCCATTAATTTATAAAACGCAAAGAGTCGTGTCGGTCCCCTTCAAATGCATTGGGTCAGCATTATTGTTTTCGTGTGTTAGAAATGACGAATATGTATTTATTCAATATCATATAACTGTTCTCCTTGTATCTATTTGTTTCAGAAAACGGGACCAGCAGGAAAGACACGCTCCATCATGTGTGAATGTGAAAATTGTATAACGCCGAATCATATCTGTTTCGTTTTTATTGCAATAAGTTATTACATACTGTACGCTTTCTTACGTTTTTCAAGCCTGGCTTCTTCGCGTATTCCCCCCATTTAAGAAGGTATTCACAACAGAGCCATGTCTATCTTGACAGATTAAGCAACTTACCTGATTGAAATTGGAGCTTAAGTTCGAATCAAACCGACAGTTTTTTTTTAGGAAAAAATAGTTATATAGGGTACACTTACGCTCTCTAGATCTGCATCCTTCGAATTGAAAATTGAAGGCACTCAGCTAGCTATTTGATTGGTCTCAGGTAAAAATACTATCCAATCGCTAGGCTGATACATATGTTAAAAGATTAAAAATTACAAAGGGGCGACACTAGCCTTCATAGCCGGTCAATTTTACCGTTACGCTGCTGCGGGATTCTTTTGATGTACATCGAAGTATCAAACGAGTATCATCCACAAGTTGGTGCACACTGAACTTTCATTTTATTTCGTCATGACATATTCCAGGGGTGCAGGGAGCGTAAGTTAGCTCCAGGAGTATCGAGGATCAGCTTCCCTAAAACGTTTTGAAAATTAATTCAAATCGCTTTCATGCTTCAGCAGAAGATAATGATTATTGCAATCAAATAAAAAAAAGGCAAACCTGGAAACTTCAAGATACTAATATGAAAAACAACCACCAATGTTTTACGACAGATTCGTTAATAATTTAATTTTCTTTTCCGCATACATAAATCGAATCACCGAAAAATAAAATCTTGGAAATGCTTATTAAGCATCCTCAAAAAGATAATGAAATACCACCACTGTCAATCAAGAATAAATTGCATAGGCAATTACTATGGCGGAAAGTTCCGTCTGTCGTGTATACACACAGTTAAACACGTACAGGACCCGACACACAGCACCACGACCTACAACGTGCTAACTACATGTGTGTAACATAACTTAGTACACGTGTATCAGAGCTCATACAAGCACGGCGTCCTGACAGTAAACAAACGGCTTGGGAACTCTATGACCTATATATAAAAACATCTTTACTTAGCATCGACGTTTTAAATCCACATCCCCGGGAATGTCTATCAACGACCATAAAGGGACGGGCGTGGCAGCCATGGTAGCTGTGCTCGTGTTTGTCATTGGAATTTTGATCGGTTTCTTCTCAAAGACATTCTACGGGCCAGACTTGGGCACATGCCCGGGTGCTGGGCTGCAGCAGCTGACGAGGGAGGCAGACCCCGGCATCACCGATACTCTCCTGGCCTTCATCGACGCACAGCAGATGGACAGAGTGTACAGGTAATATATTACAAATTTGTTGATGTTTACATTTGTTGTCATGGGTTTTACACCACTATAAATGTTAACAATATGCATTTAAATCCTTATGCATATACATTTTGATCACTCGACTTAGACTAGCCCCTGTCTCTAGAATATTGAATTATTCAGAAAAAAAACCTAATAATTTTGATCACTTTGATTTCTTATTCAAGTTCTAAACTAGGGGGAGACAAACTAGTAGTTAATGCAGTTGAGAAATTCTTCATAAAAACTTAGGGGCTGTTAGCACGTCTACACTCGACAATGTATACTACTTTCATGTCATTTTGAGTCGTAATTAAATTTCGTTCAAACAGAGAGCTGACATCCAAACCGAGGCTTGCTGGAACTGACAGTCAGCAGGAAAGCGCAGACTACGTGCACAATCTATTTCAAGAGTACGGTCTGACGTCACAGATAGACACTTATGACGTGTTTTTGTCGTACCCAGTGAAGGGACACAACAACTACGTGAGTATTCAATCATTTGGAAATAATGAATAAAGACTCTTTAACAAGGGGGGGGNTATCTGTAGGCCATAATCGTTTTTATTAACATTTTATGCTTTACCCCAGGCTGCAATTACAAGTGAAAGTGGAGCTGTTGAGTACCGTACCCTGTCATTAGAGGAGTTGACGCGGGATGATACGAGACATCCGGACGAAATACAGGCCTTTAATGCCTTTTCTCCAAGCGGTGACGTCACAGTAGGTACTCAATATTCAGTGGAATTTTATATATCTTATACAATGGAACCTCGTTAATCCAACGAAAAATGATCCGGAAAGCTCGTCCGGCTTTAATTGTTCATAACATAATAATAAAATAATAATTTTATATAGAATATAACGGATACCTAATAAAGTTCCATTGGTTCGCGGTTTGAGGAAGCTTACGTGGGGCAGTCGCAAGGTACTGGCATGTGGTGGTTTTTTCCTTCGCCACCAAAATCTGGCAGTTCATTAAATGCCTTTTACAGTAAAAAGAATGTAAAGCACCAACAGACAAACATATTTTATGAAATACAGCATCGACATTGCTCCTTGAATAAATGTGAAGGTGTCCTGTCATGTATTGCGGAACTTATTTTGTGAAACTCGTCTAAATTAACGAGGTGTCATTGTATATATATATATATATATATATATATTATCACGTGATGAAAAAAATGTGTGTTTGATTATCCCCCTTTTCACTACAATACTATCACAAATGAGATGGATTGTGAGTCTAATGAACCTAATCCCTTTTAAGCAGAGTCGGTGCACGATATTACATGTAGTACAATACTATTACACAAGAATGGCTATTTTAAGTGTTATGAACCCTTAATTTCTAACCAAATGTACAATATTCACTAAAATTACGACATACTTCTTTAATAGTGTCATATAAAAGAGGACGTTTTTTTCCATTCAAGGCCGAGTTGGTGTACGCTAATTATGGAAGAGCGGAGGATTTTGATAAACTCCGGGAACTTGGCATCAGTTGTTCCGGTAAAATAGTCATCGCCAAATACGGCAAAATCTTCCGGGGAAATAAGGTATGTATGAAAGCATTGGAAACATACATTTTTGCGTCCTTACTTACGTGATTCACTTAATACGCGAAGTTTCAATCATTTGAATGCCTTTACCATACAGTTTGTAGTGTAGTTTATATATTCATTAGAGTTATCGTTCTTACGACATAGTCTCTATCCGCTTTTTATTCATTTTGTGAATATGGTTTCCTTGTTTTGCTTTCTTTTTTGTTACCATTATCCTTCCTTTCTTCCCTTTCTCCCTTCCTTTCCCTTTCTTTTTCCTTCCTTCTTCACTCCTTCTCTCCCCACTTCCTTCCTCTTCCCTCCATTTCTCCTCACTCCCTTCCTTCTCCATCCTTCCCTCCCTCCTTCCTTCCTTCCTGTCTCCTTATTCCTTTCTATTATCTTTCCTTCCCTCCTCCTTCCCTTCCTCCTCCTCCCTCTCTCCTTCCACCCTAACCTCTCTAGGTTCTGTTTGCCCATCAAGCTGGGTGTGTAGGAGTGATACTGTACTCGGACCCGGCCGACTACGGTCCACCGCCTTCTAACTCCACTTCCGGTATGACTTACCCATATCCGGACACATGGTGGCTACCGGACACCGGGATGCAAAGGGGCAATATCATATTGACCAAAGGTGACCAGGCCACACCAGGATATCCTGCCCTATGTAAGATATCCCATTCCAATTAAGATAACTGCACTGTGTTATTACTTTCCTCTGTTTTCACGTTATGCTTCAGATATCCTTCTATATAAGGTATCCCTCCCGGTCTGAGTGAGCTACTTTGAAATCATAAATTTTCGTGGGACACTAAATTTCGTTAATTTCGTGGATAACAAAAATCCACGAAATTTAATCCCGACGAAAACATAAACTTGATATGATATAGATTGGGAAAATCAGAAATCAGCGAAATATAATGAAACAGGCTAGTATATGAAAAACATGAAATTAAAACCCCGCGAAAATAAATGATTCTACAGTATTTCAATCTGCAAGATGTTCTGTTTTGTGTTAGTTATTTCACTTTGTATGACATTGCGCTCTATGTATGACATTAAACAATGTGTAAAATATCCAAATCGGTGTAAGATACCCCGTTCTCATCCTCGATACTCCAGGGGTCACGCTCACTAACGCTCTCGGCACCCCTGGAATATGTCATAGAAAAATTGAAGGCACGGATATAGCTATTTGATTGGTGTCACGACACTGATCACATTGTCTTTCATTAAAGGGTACACGCAAAGATTATCGGACGAGGAAGTGGAGAGGAAACTTCCTAGTATTCCATGTCATCCAATTGGATATCGAGATGCATATAATATCTTGAGGTAAAATTAATTCTATCATTTTTTCCTGAGATAATAGTTATGTATGTAATGTTTCGCCTTTGACAGGATTGAAAATATTCTCATGAAAATGTGCTATTTATGACGATTCAATTTTCACACTGTAAACTAATTGAGAAGCTACAAATACAAGTATTTACATAAATTTTACAAAACAAACTGCAGAAGAAATACACACACAAGTTATAAAGTAATAATGGAAAACTATAAAGTACTTACACGAACTCAAAAAACCACCAAAAACACTCAAACTACGAAGCAATAATTCAAACTTTGTTTTCTTGTCACCAGGGAGATGGAAGGAGAGGAGGTTTTACCGGAATGGCGAGGGAATCTTAACATCACGTACAGGTTCGGCCCTACGTTACGGAATAACAGGTGTGTACAAGTGTGTTAACATCTTGGCACGTGTGTTGATTATAGACGCGAAACAACACACGTGTACATGTATTACAACGGCTGTTTTGAGTTCGACTAGCTTAAGTTGTATGTTCTTTTGGATTTGTTTTGTTTTTGATGCTCAATTCATTTCACCGGGTGATTTGTGCAAACAAATACACCATTCAATACTGGATTAAATATCATGTGATCTCATCTGTCATGATAATGGAACATTGCAGATCACGAGTTGGTAACTTATTCTTTTCATGTTTTCCAGGAAAATCAGACTTGTGGTCAAAAATGAGAATCGAACAGTTCCAATACACAATGTTATCGGCAAGATCACTGGTGAAATTGAACCAGGTACGTCATGATATCGGAACTAACTTCATTTTGTAAGATTTAATTTCAGTGGTTGTGCTTCAAGCTGCCATATTTGCGGGGTATTGAATTTACTAAAAGAACATTTTGATGGATTCAGATCCATCGCTTTAATGAATATGAATGCATATATGTCCGTAATAATGAGGCGATTTAACTCGAAGATATCTCGAACTCGAAGGAGGCACGGGAGTGTAGTGGTAAGACGCCGGGCTCGTGACCGAAGGGTTGCGTGTTCGAGTCACGGCACAGCACTGTGTTGTATATCTTTGAGTAAGGTACTATATACTCCGCTTGTTCCAGTCTACTCAGCTATAAATGAGTACGTAGTTGGGCAGTGCTAGAATTGTTGATTGCTAGCTGTGAGCGCCTAAATGGCAGCATCGACTGTATGCTCCCCAGGGAGTTGAAAAAGATATTGGCTGGTTGCAAAGGCCCTATAACCACGGATAATAATTTGTGAGCCGCTTTGAAACGACCTACAAGCTAGGTTGTGATAAAACGGTATATAAGAACCTCGAATTATTAATATTAATTATAATAAAGCGATTCACAGTAAATACATATGTGACACAACAGTATGCATAACTTGCCATATACCATTTTGTTTATAGTACTTAACTGCTGACGCTGAAGTCTTTACGAATAATTAAACTATAGCCATATACAACATTATTTTATTACGTCAAAAACTATCCAAGCCCGGTAATTGAACCTGTTGTTTGGGAAAATACCATTTAGAATAAAGATAACATTGCAAGAATATATTTCAAGTTCGATTTAAAATATCAATCTAATCGTCTAATCTCTATTTCAGATCGTTACGTCATATTTGGTAACCATAGAGACGCTTGGGTCTATGGAGGAACCGACCCAGCTTCCGGTGGGATAGTTATGATTGAAATAGCCCGGATATTTGGAAAATTACTAGAAACAGGTATGCTCGCATGTTTAGGAAGTGTACTGTCTAAAAAGTCGGTTGTTCTCAGTTTGTAGACAGACAGATAGATATATAATTTGTTGGTAGATTTGTTTGTGTTTTTCCTTTTGGCATTCCTACTTTGCTGCAGCTAAATAAATTTGAGAGGATGTCCATTTGTGATGGTATTACTCAAGAACCATTCTCAAGCGCTAATAAACTGTTATGTTATGATTTGGAGAGTGAGGCATGCATAATGTCCGAACCTTGCCAATGGGTTACCAGGATTCATAGGTTTGTTTGAGATTTTCCTTTTGGCGTTTCAACTTTGCTGCAGCTAAATACATTTTAGGTGTTTTCCGTTTGTGATGGTATCACTCAAGAGCCATTCTATAGCACTAAACTGTTTTGTTATTATATGGATATTTGATGATGTAGAACGCCCAAATTTTGCAAATGTGTTACCATGATACATAGGGTAACATCTCAGGAAGGAGAGTAACTATAGGGAGAGATTATAGGCAGGTGGCATAGGACTAGTAGTTAGTGCCTGCTAAGGCAGCTCCTGCGATTTCCTCTATTATTTTTTATTGATTAATGTATATGTTAATTGTATTGATAGTATACAATGTATATATATGTACTGTAAAGCGCTTTAGAGTGGCTTAGTCTAGCTAGATAGTGCGCTATACCAAATGTTTATTTATTTATTTCAATGGAAGAAGCAAATACAATCGGTCATGTGATCTTTCTGTTGTGGCTCACTATTAGTTGACTCGTTCAATCATGAAGTGGATACTGCTTGTACTCGATGAATCAGACAACTTGGCATCTGTCTTCTGAAAAGTCTGCTCGAATAATCATCTTTAAATTGTCTTATAGGTTGGCGTCCAAGACGAACTCTTTTGTTTTGTAGTTGGGACGCAGAAGAATATGGACTGGTCGGTTCCTACGAATGGGTGGAGGTAAAGATCTTCGAGCAGCAATGGTTCTAATCATGAAGTTTCCTTGATAGATCAGCAATAATGAGTGGAACAATGAAAATTGTTAAATTACTACATGTGCTAAATTAAAAGTATAACATCAGAGCATATCCCTTTGGCCAAACGCTATTTAGAATGAAAATCCATTTTCTAGAAAAAATAATAAGGAACTCAAATTTGTCGGTCTATTGTGACCGATTTTGTGGTATCAGCGATCGTATTGTGGATAAATATGACTCTAAAAGAAAACAGGGGGTCGTCGAAAGGCCCTGAAGGTCTGTATATTCTATCAGTACGAGTGAAAAAACAACCAACAGAACTTTAAAAGCACACACTTCCAAGCAGCGGCATACAGAAACTGCCTGTAGAGCAAAGGCAGGTCATCTTTCATTAGTGCCAATTGAATAAGTAGTATGCAACTGGTTGGTCGTTCGTTGCTGAAGCGTCATCCAAACTGTAGCAATGGTCAGTGCCATGTCCTCCCATGTATGGCAAATCATGTTGAATGGCTGTCTGCTTCGAACGATTCATTCCACGATCATCTGTGCACATGTGTTTATCATTTCTTTATGATTCATATACTGATTGTGTTTATTTCCTGCAATGAAATGATATATTCAAAAAGAAAAATATGACTCTTTCGCATTTAAACAAATTAATCAATGAGATTAAAGTAAACTATTTTATAATAAATTAATCAGAAAGATTTATCTACAAGGGTGTCTAGTATGCTTGATTGTGACTCGTACGTTATATAGACAGGTCTTGCTCAGGAAGATACTGTCTTTCTGAAGCAGACCAACTCTTTCTTACAGGGTCTATTTCCCTTGTTTTAAAGTTCTAAAAATCTGATTTACTGACCATTTTATTTTTTTCATATTTCACTCGTCTTGAATGAATACTTCAATATTTTCATTCGTTCTGTTGCACTCGTTGACATATTCTGTCCCACTCCTTCAACGGGGATCCATTAAATATAATTTATCTATTTATTTCAGGATAATATGAAATGGCTGACGTCAAATGCCGTGGCCTACCTCAATCTCGATTCTGCTATAACTGGTAAATATATCTAGTCAGTAAATGTTAAATATAACTAGTCGAGGTGTCGGAGATACTGAAACTTTGATTCTTATCTTATAGTGGTTTGACAGGGTTCGGAAATTTCCGACTTTCCCCGGCATTTTCCAACAACTTACAATGTTGATTGGTATCCATCGTTAAAAAAATTAGCATATCCGATGTAAAAGCGTTACGTACCCCGCCCC